CTTAAATGCAATCAGACTCGCTTTCATTCACACTTCACATGCATCCAAACAGGTGCGCAGCAAACTGGCGACAAGCGCCCACTCGAGAGGTAGCCAAGAACGCAGTTTAGGTACAATTTCACTTCAATGGCTATGGCGACACAACGCCCACACAACTCTTTGTTCGCACCCACAGGATCACCCTGGATATCCCACACGCGATACTTTGTACACACATACACACACACACACACACACACTACACTCTACCTACAGCTATGGCGGCTATGGCCGTTGCTAACCTATCGCTAKGGCTAAGCTCCTTCTCGCCCACTTCGTCTTCGGGCTCACTGCAGACCACCTCGCACAAGTCGCTGTGGCAGCGCTTCCGCATGGCTTACGCAGGAATGAATGAATGGCTGGACACTGCCCTTTGATTTATACTTATGTAGCTCGTTGGTCTGGCCCTTTCCCATGCCCGTGGTGCACACAGTCCCATACGGTACTTGCTTGACTGGACTAGGACTGATTGGGACTGGGACTACTGACTCAACACGGGTAAACTCCACCACTTGCCCACTTGCCTCAGCCTAAACGTGAGCAGGTTCGAAAGGCCACTACTAGGACCTTCCGGAAGGCCATGGACTTGGCCTTTCGATACTGTAGCAGCTACGACCTTGACCCTTCAGGACTATAGCAGCTACGACCTTGACCTTTCGGAGGAGCTACACCTACGACTTCTAGACCTTGCTAGGACTCCGACCCAACAGGTCTACAGATCGAACCCTTACTACCTACGGACCCTACGACAGTCTACCAACTGTTACAAATACACAGGTCACGGGTTCAACTCTCGGGGTGGCCATAAATACTGTACATAGGTAAGGTTAAGTCTAGGGATCGAGCCCTGGGATCTGCATTTGCTACTGCGCACAGGTGAATACCGTTTCACTCCCGCCGGGCTAAATTCGAGGTCCTCCGAGAATAACTCAGTCCAAGGCAGGACCTTTACCTTTCTTATCTCTCTCATAGGCTCTAACTATGTCGGGAGCTGTTTCTAGAAGTTCTGCTCTGGTAAACCAGCGGTCGTCCTCTGATTCCTGATAAGCAAACCAGACCTTATACTGCTTCTGCGGACAACCTCTACCTCCTGTTCTGAACACGTCTTCACCTACAATGTCGTCAACGTCGTACCTTTCGTCCATGTGTGGAGGAATCATGGATCTTCTAGATGGAAACTGTTGACTTGTGACACACGGCAACAACTTTGAGGCATGAAACACAGGGTAGGTGTGGAGGTGTAGTGGGATCTCTACTGTGTCAGACGGCCCATCCTCTCCGCCCTTAACTTCTAGAATTGGCCACGGTCCTCTATACGCGGGCAGTAACTTCTGCGAGATGTTTTCCTCAAGAGCAAACTCTTTGGACTTGACCCAGACTAGGTCGCCAACTTGGAACAGTGACTATCGACGATGCTTATTAGCCTGTTCTATCATTCGGTGTTGGGCCTTCCTGAGGTTTTCAACAACAGTAGCTAACTCTTTCTCGTGCTGTATCGCGAACTCCCTAGTACCGGGCGGTAGCCTATGAATCTGATCCCGGTTAAGTCCCTCAAACGGTCTATGAGGTCTAAAGGACTTGTGCAACTCGTTGGGAGTGCGACCGGTGGACAAGTGCACACTGTTATTGTACGCACTGGCTACCTTGGGCAACATCTCGTCCCAATTGACTTGATCTGGTCTAATGTACGTACGCAGAACTTGCTACGGGATCTTGTTCATCTGCTCAGTCTGACCGTTAGTCTTTGGGTGACGGTCAGTTGACATCAACAACTTTGGCCCATAGACTCTCATTAGTTCCTGCCAGTTCTGACTCGTGAAGCGGGTATCTCTATCACTAACAATAGACAACGGGACGCCATGCTCACTAACCCAAAAGGCAAAAAATTTCTGAATCGCTAACTCAGTGCGTGCCTCTGCAGGCAAAGGAACAAAAACAACATATTTGCTAAATCTATCAACTATGACCATGACTTGGCTCTTGTCGTGCCTACTCTTGACGTCGCCGTCCATAAAGTCAATGGACACTGAATCTCCTGGCTGATCAGGAATAGGCAAGGGTCTGAGAAGACTTAGAGGGGCATGGGTAGTGATCTTATTTCTTTGGCAAACTTTACAACTGCGGACATAGTCTATGCAGTCGTTCTTCATTCCTTGGCACGTATATGCATGCATCAGGTTGGCTAAAGTCTTTTGCCAACCGAAATGTCCCTCTGTGTCGTGGCATTCCCCTAAGATCAAATTGTGGATCTCCTCACTGTTGGGAACGCACAGGCGGTCTACTACATTAGTCTTCTCAAACAACAGTCCCTCTGTAGTGCGGTAGTCTGGTTCAGTCTCTGGGGCCTCCTTGACTCTCCTAAGGAGGTCATTATAAACAGGGTCCTGCGCATATGCCTGTCTGACTTTTTCCTGCAGGTCACTCCCTATGTCCAGATAGTGAACAATAGCTCCAAAGTAGTCTGATCTCTTACTTAGAGCATCCGCAACTACATTATACTTGCCTTTAACAGGCTTGAGCTCAAAGTCGTACTGGTCTATCTCAACGGCCCACCTAGTCAACTTAGGTGTCATTTTGGTCTGTGTCTTCAGCCACCTCAGAGTCTCGTGGTCTGAATACACTTTGAAGTGCCTACCAAGCAGGTAATGCTTCCAGTGCTCTAAGGCCTGCATGAGAGCGTAGAGTTCCCTCTCGTACGTCGAGGTAACGACTTTCTCTGAGGGCATCCTTGCTGACATGAACTCTACGGGTCTATAGCCATTGTCGTCATCCTGCTGTAACACGGCACCTATACCATACTGAATGGCGTCCGTGGTGACGACAAACGGCAAGGACGGATCTGTTACTTTGAGGACAAGATATTCTATCAACGCGCGTTTTAACTTCTTTAGCGCAGACGTGCAGTCTCTATCCCACTGCCAGATTGCCTCTTTCTTGAGCAACCTGCGAAGGGGAGCGGCGAAAGTCGAGAAGTTCCTCACGAACTTCTGATAGTAATTGGCCAGACCTAGGAACGACCGCAACTCAGTCAATGTGCGGGGCGTCCGCCAATCTCTAATCGCCGCTATCTTGCTGTCCTCGGGCTTAATGCCATCTCCGTCTAAAACGTGGCCCAAGTACAAAACTTGTGTCTTGGCCCACTCGCACTTCTTCGCGTTGATCTTGAAGTTAGCCTCTCTCACCTTCTACAAGACCTGCCTCAAATGACCCTCGTGCTCTTGGAGGGTCCTACTGAACACTAAGATGTCATCTAAATACACTACGACAAATTTGTCTAACCACGGCCTAAACAGATAATTCATACAGCGTTGGAATGTAGCAGGCGCGTTGGTCAGTCCAAAGGGCATCACTATGAACTCGTAGTTCCCATACCTAGTCCGGAACGCACTGGTCATTAGGATGGACCTCTATCTGATGATATCCGGACTTCAAATCGATCTTTGAAAAATATATGCAACCTTGCACCCGATCTAAGAGATCGTCTATCTTGGGCAGCAGTTCAACATTCTTCACAGTGATCTCATTCAGACCCCTATAGTCTATACACATACGCAATTCTCCTTCCTTTTGGGGGACAAACAAAACTGGCGCTCCAAAAGGAGACGAACTGGGACTAATCCAACCCTTTCTAAGGAGCTCATCCAACTGTTTGTGCAACTTTTCTAACTCTCTAGGGGACATCTTGTAAACTGCTCCCTTAGGAGTCCTACTGCCAGGCTCTATCTCTATCTTGTGCTGGATCGGTCGCGCCACTACTCCTGACTGCGGCTCTGCAAGGTCTTTGAACTCTTGCCGCAGTTTGGCAATGGTTGGATCCATGAGACTATCCTCTTCCTTAGGCTCAGTGATAGGTGTGACATACACTACGAAGACCTGATCCTCTAACTGCTCCTTTCTTACTAGTCGCGCAAACGCGGGAGCACTGAGACAGCAATGTGCCAAGGAGTTATCTACTCCAGACACATGAAACAGGCGGGTAGTCTTAACCTCGCCTGACAGACTAGGGAGCCTACACTCATGCTCTCTCAAATGGAGAGTGGCCCCTGCTGCCTCTCCCCAATCCATGCCTAGAACGATGTCAAAAGGAAGGTCATCCTGTACGTGGAGAGTCAGGGAATGGAAAACTTTCTCCACCTTCCCATCTTTCTCTAGGCGGAAATATGCCTGGACTCCCTCTACGTAGTCCTCAACACGCATAGTGCGGTTGTCTGCGAGGACACTAACTATGGGGTCTTCCAACTTCTGGACTTTTAACCCTAGCCTTAGCTTCTTCAACGCTTTACGGCTAATATAACCGCGGGTAGCCCCTGAATCTATAAGGGCCCCTACTCTACTTCTAAAGACCTCTACATCAACTAGCACTAATTGTCCTTTACTATCTTTCTTCACTTTGGCCCAAGCGGCATCCTCTCCTTCAACTCCTCTGCCACGCCTGTCAGGGAAGTGCCCAGAGAGACGCTGATACAAGCAGTCTATGGACAGCTAACTAAGCACGGGCCTGCAACCTCTGTCAAAGGCTCATGTGGTGTGGGAGTTTCCTGTACCCGCACGCTTGCTTCCCCACATGGCCTAATAGTAGGGGCAGTTGCCACCCCTACCGGCGGCTGCCTTTTGACTCCTGGGCAGCCCATCGGGCCTGCCTATATTTAGGACAATATTTAATAATATGGGCCGGGTCACCTCAATATATGCACTGCCCCTGGTCCATACGTTGTTGCCAAACTCTTTGGTCCAGGCCCAGATCTTCCAAAGGCCGGCCTTGTGGCCAGCCTGGGTGCCAACCTCCTCTCCTTTGACTTGATCCTCCACCTCGTCGCTGCGGGGACCGACTAGGACCATGACGATTTGGCGGGGGACTTTGACCCCTACCTCCCTCTTGGCGGCTCCTTTGACCGCCAACCCCCTATGCGCCCGGTCCTCGACCTCCCGTGGCCTGACCCCTTTGGCCTTGGCCTCCTCCTCTACTTTGCGGCCTCCCTCTAGCCGCGACAGCAACATAGGTCCTCCCTTGGCCTACACTACTGTCTTCCTCCTCGAGCCCCTACTCAATCTCACTATAGGGGACTTCGTCAGTACCACCCTCGTCTAAAGTAAGGATCAAATGATCCTTGGCCCTAACCTGGCTAGATATGGTACGACCTTTCCACTTTTTGCCCTTATCTAAGTCCTTATGCCAGAAAGTGGAAACTGGCATGGACTTGGCCTCAAACAGGACCACCTCTCTACTCAACGCATCATACGTGATGTTGGCCTGTTGGGTCTTGTCAAAGAAATGCCCTCGCAAGGGCTTTGGCATGGCACGATAGAATAATTGAACCAACTGGGTCTCAGTGACCCCGTGGTCTGGGACGGCTACCAAGTCGTCCATGACAGCTTTGAGTGCTCGCGCACTCCTCCACTGTCGTGAGTGGATGGTTTGGAGTCTGTCAGAGGCCCTGACGCCTCTTGTGACGTCAGCGAACCTCTCACGCAGGAGTTGGAGGAAAGTGGAGAGAGGGGTGAGCCTAGAATATGTAATCATATTGTGCTCACAATCAGCGACGCGCACAAGGGACCTGGCGAAGCTGGCCGCTTCGTCCTTCAGTGCGTGGAAGGCTATGAGGACTTGTTCCTCGGGGGCGATATGCTGCAGATACACATAAGTGTTGATGCTAGCCTCCCAGTTATCAAAACTATCGTCCTTTTTCCCATTATACGAATCAGGGAATTTGAGCTTGACAGGCCCTTTGTGGGAACGCGACGCGGTCTTTGTTGTGGCCACTACTTTGGCGCCTTCGACGGCGCCGGCGCAGAACTTCTCTGCGCTTTCCTTCAATCTTTTTACTTCGGTCCCGACGTGGGTTACCACGTCGCGCGCAAACTCTCTAAACCCTGACCGAATGGCGTGAAGGGTCACATCTTGACCCTTATTGGCCTGATGCTCCTCCAGCCAGGCCTCGCTTAGAACCTCCAGGTACACCAGAATCTTGTCCAACTTTGCAGGGGTCTCTGCTTGTGCCTGCACCTCTTGTCTGCACGCCCGCACTCTCTCCACCTCTCTAGCCATCCGGTTGGCTTCCTCCCTCCTTCTCTTCTTCTCCCTGGCCAGCCGCAACTTCCACTCCAACCTTTTTTCATCTTCGGCTGCCTGGTGCTCCAGGGGGTCCTCCATCGCTTCCAACACCCTAGCGAATGCTTCTCTCTCCTCCTCAGGCACGTACAACAGTGCCTCCTCATCTTCTCCCAGGGATAAATTAGCTACCCACTCGCTAATCTTTTTCTCCATCCATTTGTCCTCCTCCTTCGTGCCACTGCTTTCCCCTCGTCCTTCTCTGCGTCTCCTTTCAAGGGGCTCATCTTCTATCTCTTCCTCTTCTGCTGCTGCTTCTTCGGCAGCCTTCCTCTTCTCTTCCTCCTCCTGCAGTAACTTTAGAATTTCCTCCTTCTGTAATCTCATCATCTCTTCTTCCAACTTCTTCTTCTTCGTCGCCTGCTCCTCTGCTATCGCCTTCAACTTCACTTGATTGAGGAGCTCCTTCTTCTCTTTCATCTCCTGTCTCTCCTTCAAAATGGCGGTGGCACGCTCCTCCTGAGCCTGGGTATATGGGGTAGTACTCTTCCCGCTACGGGTGTCAACCATGGTGTTAGGTGCACAACCAGACAATGGTTCCACTCCTCACCACTTAGACTCTACCCCCTTAACTGACACGACCTACTGACTCAATCTAAGGACTTACAGAATCCGGACAGGATCCTGCCAACTAGGGTCTCTAGCCTAGACCTACTCTAAGGTTGTCACTACAGGACCTGTTGCTGATCAGGAGGCATTTAAGGAGATCCCCCGTAACTCCTCATGAAGTCTTTAACGTCGCAGACAGGACGACGCGGTCAGCAGGTCCTTTCAAGACTTAGACGGCCTGTTGTGCAGCCCACAGCTCGGATTTTGGGCCTACCGTGCCACACCGAGCAGCCCGCCGGTGAGTACCGGTCCTTGGGACGGTTCGTGTCCTTCGGGATAGTCGAGTCATCAAACACAGTCTTTTGCCCTACTCTGCCCGTGTGGGTTTGGTCAACAAGGCCCTATCCTTCATCCACAGAGTCCTATCACCTGGACAGAAGAGACTCAATGCAGAAAGGAGAGACAGACAGACTTGACTCATCAAGTACCACAGTCCATAGGGCGAGAGGATAGGCTGAAGGCTTGGCGAGATTATACCGGCTCCAGCTTGGTCAAAATCATGGTCAACACTTGGTTAACACCTTGGTCAACGCTGCAGTCAACTCCCGGTCAACCACCAGTCAACTCCGGTCAACTCCGGTAAACTCCGGTCAACTCCGGTCAACTCCGGTCAACTCCGATCAACTCCGGTCAACGCCCGGTCACACCCAGTCAACCCCCGTTCAACTCTTCCGGTCAGCTATGGCTGCCGTGCTCTCCTTCCTCACCACCCTTCTCCTTCCTTTCTCCTTCCTCGCCTCTTTCTTC